AATAACTTAATAAGGCACAATGAATGCTCAAGAATTTAACATTTTGTAGTGCATAATAACGCATGCATAAAACCTAAGACAATGGGTGCGTTTGGCAGAAAAAAGCGCTAGCAAGCGCTTGTAAGCAAAATGGCGAAACTAAACAGTTTTCGGCCAGATACGCTAACTTCAGTAGCGCTGACACAATCCGCCATTTTGCTTATTTAATTTTTTGTTTTAAAGTAGAGTTTATAAGTTGTTTTGTGCAATATTAGTTTTAAGTAATATAATGACATGAATAAACATATACATGTTATTAAAAATTCGTGGTTGGTAAGTTTTTAATATGAATACTTTACAAACATATATTTAAATTAGGTTAGGTTCCCCGGTTAAAGCTAACTTCGTGTCCTAGAGGAAAATAGCTACTTACGATTTGACAGCGCTTACCGCTTACGATCGCCATTTTGCTTACAAAAACGTCTAAATTGTTATATGGTAAACCGGAACGACTTGAGTATTGTTTACTAGCACATGCAGTTTAAGATTTATTTAATGCAAACACAGCTTTTCTTCTTTTTTCTTTAATGCTGTTACATACATAATGAGGGAAACACACATTACATTTAGGGAAGGGACACTGAAATCTAAGTACTTTACTTTGTGTGAAACATACGACTCCATGCATTGCCTATAATCCCCGAAGGGGTGGGCAGAGCCGGAAGAGTAGCGAAGTACTCGGACCACGTTAAGCCAAAAAAATATAATTATGGGCTTAGATGAAAAATTGTGAATGAAGTCATAGGTGGCTCTCTCATCGCCTACACAATCACCAACGCAATGTATCATTAGTCGCTTATTACGAAATACTAGGTAACTAACACGAATTACTCTTGTTTTGTATGTTCTACATAAATATAGGACCTGCAAGTACCGGACCAACTTTGTAAAGTTTAAATTTACAAAAAAGCAAGTTAGAATAAGCCATCTTCTAATTAGACATTCATTATGGGGGCCATACACCTTCAGTTTTATCTATGCGATAAAACTGTAGTAAAAAAACCACACACGTTCAAGTAATACCGCGCAGTTTATGCAGTAGTGCAGTAGTATAAAGAGTATAAAGAGAAGATCATTATCATGTATATTTGTTAAAGGAATTAAAGACGTTTCCAAGAGACTGGCATATTTTTTTAAGAAGCGATAGTGATACGTCCGTTTTTGCTGTGTAATTAGTAACACCAATAATTGAAAAGCAAAACACTTTTATGAGAAATGGCGAAAACTGAGCGCTTGGCACACACGTTACGCTTGAAACACGTTACGCTTGACACACGCTATTATATCGGCAGTTTCCTCCAATTCTGTTTTATCTATTCAAATTTTCATACTACTCCGTTCGACGGTACAGTTTAAAAAAATAATAAAAACTGTACAGTTTTTTATCACACACACGTTTCGATTATCGATGCAGTTTAAACGCTACAGTGCGATCGTAACTATTTCTCGTAGCGTGTGTGCCACCCATTACGGTTCGTACGGGGCAGTTCCTTGTCACGAAAATATATTTTCGAGCGTGCACAGATGACGTACAGTGTATAATGTCGTTTTGTAGATGATAATGTAACTCATCTGTATATTAATGACCCAAAAGTACTCAACGTTGCGTCGCAGCCGTATGTTGTGTTGTGTCCATGACTTCTTAATAATTGCTGTATAGTTGTAGGAGCCTATAACCAGTGTCACCAACTCGAATTATTCCAAATCCGGAGATAGGTATAATAATTTTCGTTGGATTCCGTAGGTGCTATTTCAAAATGTCCGTAGATCTGTAGACTTCTTAAGAGGATCGAAATTTTTTGTTTTTGTCATAGAATAGATCAATTTTTTGGAGAAATTCTTTCTGTTATGTAAAATTCTTGTTGTGAGTTCAATTGCAGTATAAAGGCTGGCGTCGACTAGGCGCGCCGAGTCGAATCGAATCGAAGCGCAGAAATTCGCTCCCTATATATTTACTATGAAATTGCGTCCATCTGTGAAGAGCCGCAGCGCGCCGAGCCGAATCTCTCGCGCGCATCGCGTTGTATGATGTTAACTACTGCTCATATTATACTGCGCATATTAAAAAATAACAAATGTATTTTATTCTAGCAACAAAATGCAGAGAAAAATGGAAGAAGATACGCGAAAATTTTAGAAAGGCAAGTAATTTAAGGAAAACAAAAAGTGGCCAAGCGGCGAAAAATTTTAAACCCATTCGATTTGCCAAGGAGCTGAGTTTTCTCACGCCGTATATACATGCTGAATCGCACAACAATCTCTCTCAAACGTTCCTGCACAATTAAGTGATGATGAAGAACATAGCTTCACTTCATCCACTTCAGTCAACATTGCTTCGCCAGCACATGGATCATCAACAATGTCGCCCGGATCACCTATATCAAAAACGCCACCACCGAAGAAAAAAAACCAACAGAAAGTCTACCTGGTAGTACGCAATCCCTTTTCCAGTCTTACTTGGATAAAAAATACAGTCATGACAGACAAGAAGAAGAGGATCCCATTATAATGTTTTTTAAAAATCTTGGCCATACTGTGTCGCAGTTTTCTCCAGATTTGCGATTACGTGTGAAAAGAGCCGTGTTCAATATCGTTTGTGAAGCGGAAGAAGAAAATATTCAAAGAAATGCGACTGTTAACATCTCAACCCCTATTGCATCAAGTTCTTCAAGCAGGCAAGAATATGCAACAGATGTTGATGGATCTAGTTCACGACAGTCATATATAATTTTAAATACCAGTCAACTTCAATCTGTTGAAGGGCACTTCACAAATGGCAACATCCCCGTTGCAATCGCAAACTCAAAACTATGCAAGTCCATTGAACGAATATATTCGATTTCAAAAATAAAGTATCACTATGAAAATTGATAATGGAAATAAATAAAGAATTTTCAAGTAAAAAATTGTTTTATTTTATCATACCTTAGGCATAAAGCTAGCCGTTCTTCTGACGGAATAGGCTTTCTAAATCTTGTGTTTTGTTTCTTCAGATCCAGGATGTTCAGTAACTCTTGATATTTTTCAAGATCGGAAGTACTGGAAAAATTTGCTTGGGTACTTTTGTAGATCAGAAAACAAATGGCAAAACTCTCCGTGGATATTTCTTTTTCTGTTGATATCATGGACCTAGTATTTTACTGACCGCTGCTTCTTTTTTATTCTATTCTCTTTATCAAATAGAATTTGAAATAAAAACATTTCTTCATCCGAGCTATCCATCGTTAATTTATCATAATCTCCAACTCGGAGCACGGGCAAATAACTACTAGAGGATTCATTTCGATTCGACGCGACGCGTCAGTGATTAACGCACCCAGGAGGCGATTCGGCTCAGTTCGACGCGCTCGATGAGATTCGCCTCGGCTGTAGTCGACGCCTGCCTTAACACCGAATCAAGCTGAAGAAAAAAGTACCATAAAATTTATTAAACATTAATGTTTTCTTTTAATTAAATAATTTTAAGTAAAAACAAATAAAATAATTAACATTTGAATATTTGTGGATGGTTATACTAAAAAAATACTTCGATTGATAAAATTTTCGATTGTCGGCTGTCGGCTGAAGTTCACAGTCATGATAAAAAAATTTTTTTTTGTTGTTTTTAAAAATCAAATTCCGAAGATTTCAACTCAAATTCCATAGTTCCGTAGACGATGAAAAAATCCGTAGAGTTGGCAACGCTTCCTCACATACTGTGTGCTCTTGAGTCACTTAAATAAAAATGTGAATATGAACGTGTAGAAGAATAAGGGCCGATACTCATTATAATGCCGTTCACAGTTCGTTCTCGATCCGATCTCGGTCTGATAAAATATTATCAAGTAAAAAATATGTGTGTGTAGTCATGCTATCTGTAACATTCAAGTTTCGCTCGAATCCAATTCCAATAATACAGGCTGTTAGTGTAAACACCGTTATCCTTGAAACCAGTGGTTCGGTTTCACTTACAGAACGTAAATTCAATGAAAATTAACAATATTTTTTTTAGCATAATCTCAATTTTTCCTTAATTCCTCAATTTTTGCCTATCCCAAGCCAGGATGAAAGTATGAAGGAAAAGTTACATCACAGGTTATGTGTACCTATTGTGTTTTTATTGGAATGTTGTAGCGCGGGCTGTGATCTTTACAGCGTTTACGTCACTCGAGCGCATAGGGTATCCATGAATTTACGGACGGTGTCGGACAGAAAATTTTTAAATTTTATGAAAAAATTGCGTTTTTTTTTTTTAAATTCATATCAATATTTTTATATTAGAGCCAACTACCTATGGTTTTAGTGACAACGATGTTAACACTTACACCTTGTATAACTAACAGACCGAAAACGGACCGAGAACGAACTGTGAACGGCAAATGTGGATCGGCCCCTGAGGCCCCGACTTCAGTACGTGAAATTATTTTATTCTTTTAAGTTCTTTAGTTAAAGTCAACATTTCATTTTGTGTTAAAAGTGTAGACCAGGGATTCCCAAAATGGTCGATATCGACTCCTTGAGTTCAAAATCGGTTTACCAGGGGTCGACATAGAAGAAAATTGATAATTTGTAACTGTAATTTGTGTAATTATTATTAATTACACTTGTAATTTACTGAATTTCATGTCTATTTATATTGTTATGTTTTGATGACAAAACGATGTCAAGTTTCTCTCTTAACCAACCGCAAAGTTTTTAAATTTGTACCTAAGCATTTTGTATCAATAAGAAAAAAATAGACAGGAATTTTAAGTAATTTGGCTATTTACTTAAAATTTACTATTTCAATATACATTGAATTGGTACCTAAGCATTTTGTATCAATAGGAAAAAATAGAGATAGGATTTTTAAGTAATTTGCCTATGAGAGTCTAAGGTATGAGTTCATTTCGAAAAAGAGGACTCTTGATCAAAATAGTTTGGGAATCTCTGGTGTAGAACTTTAGCTGTGTGGGTTGTCAACGCTGATCATATTTAATGGAATGCATGTACGTAGAAATAACAAATGTTTAGGAGCTGGTCTAGGAGTGTTCGCAACTTTAACTCTACCCGTCGGTGTCCGTTTCGGACCGTATCGCGGCGAAATCACAAAAGAAATCGTTTCGAAGTACTGTTGGCAGGTAAGAAATTTTAGATTAGTGATTTAAACACTGAAGCAAACATTATCATTCATCATCATCATTACAGCTCTTCACGAGTCCACTACTGAACAATAGGTCTCCCGCAAGAAATCCCACAAATCACGGTCCTGAGCCACTACATCCATCGACTTCCTGCTTGTCGCCTACCGGTACGACGTGGCCACTCGAGAACTTGTCTTCCCCATCGGTTGCCGGTTCTTCGAGCTATATGGCCGGCGCATTACCATTTCAGCTTACTATACTTATATTAGTTTTTGTGCATAATATATTATGTTCTATTTTCTAAGTTTGTAACTACACTATTGCATTAGGTAATACTCCTGTGATAATAGATGTAAGTGATAAATAAATAAACTAAAATAAAAAAATATATTATACTCACGCAGCTGGAGCCAATAAACAAAATATTTAAAGTGAAAGTTATCGGGTCTGGACGAGTAACAACTATCACCTAACTTTATAATAGAATATGGCTATGGAAGAAATATACAAAAAGTGGTCTCAACAATAACGCTACTTATTTACAACATATTTCTTACACAATAAAATTATTTAATTGTTAAATTTCTTCATTAAAGAAACTTTACTCCTGCATTAAAATTATCTCTTGTATCGTACAGCCGTATTACTTGATAAAGTTTTACATGATGCAGCTATATTATGGTAGTAGGACGAATACCAGCCTGACATAGCATAATTCTGTTAGGTTTCGTTTGGTGAGTGTAGAATCGTAGACCTTTTTTACTGGATACGAGGCAAACATAGACATCGCATACGTTCTGATCTATTGGCCACAGCTTGCCATCAGGTGGACACTTATAAAAAAACATACAGAAATAGTACTTGGGCAAACATGCAGACACGCAGAGCTATAGCCACTGTGCCACTGCGCTGTCAATATTCATAATCGTATCCTTCTATCCTTGAGCCATGATGAAGTTATATTAGTAGTATAGTTGCAACACGAATGGGACGGCTCGACCGGGGAAGGACCACGCTCTCACAGAATACCAGCGTAAAACAGTAGCCTAATAATGCTGTGTTTCGTAAGCTGAGTATAGAGAACCGGAGACCCTTTTTACTGGAAACGAAGCATTCCATCTTAGTCCTCACGGGTGACAACGCATTCGCGTTTTGATTCGTAATCGAGGATAGATGTAGATGTCTATGGACCACAGCAACCACTTACCATCAGGTGGACTGTGTGCAGGATTAAAATTGAATGCCTCATTTCCAGTTAAAGTGTCTCCGGTTCCCTACACTCACCATACGAATCACAGCTATATTATTACTTTTAAATATCACCGAATAACACCGACTTTAGATCTATGATCAAAACAACAAACCAAAACATGTTGTGGACGCGGCAGACGAAGATCGTTCTAATTGGATGCGCTACGTAAATTGCTCCCGGCATTGGAACGAGCAGAACCTACTCGCCTACCAGTACAAGGGCCAGCTTTATTACAGGTTCGGACTTATATCATAAGAAAATTTCTTTACCAAAATCCGATGGTGTGCGCAGACCTCAGACCAAAACAGAAAGACGGAAAATTGCTTCGTAGTTTAACTGACGTGGCGTGCGTGCGTGCGTGCGTGCGTGCGTGTGTGTGTGTGTGTGTGTGTGTGTGTGTGTGTGTGTGTGTGTGTGTGTGTGTGTGTGTGTGTGTGTGGGTGTGTGGGTGTGCGTGCTGTGCACAACGTGCGTGCTTTCCGCGTGTGTTAAATATACGTTGTAATACTCTATCTTTCTTTCGTCTCGATGCAATGTTGGACATACGTTTTCAAAATATTTGAATTAAAATTTGTGTGAATATTGTGTATTTATGCAGATTTCACTACGAAAAAACAAATCAAATATAATCATACTTATTACGACACATCTATCAGATGTCTTAGATTTGTTTTGAAGCCTACAATATGCCAGACTTCCTTACAAACATTTGGTAGAGCTAACCTGCAGCTATATTATAGTTGTAGCACCAAGTGATCAGCTCGACTGGGGACGGACTACGCTCTTACAGGATACCAGCGTATGGATCGCTGCACCAGACTTAAGTTTCGCATTTATGACCATACTACCCTGGTTTGGATATTTTACCCTGGCGTAAATAAGATGATATACCGTCATCAATCGGAGCTATAACATTTTCCTGGCATTTCCTATTAATAGGGCATTTACTGTGAATTCCAGGTGAAATATTTGACAGATTTCATAACGGGGGAGTTAATTTGTTAAAAGTGTACAGATTCTTTATATTGTTTACGAATTGGATGGGAAAGGATTAATTAGGAAGATTAATTAAAAAAAAAATATGCATTCATCTCACACGAGACAGAAGTGAAACCTTCAAAGGAAATGAAATATTAAATACAAATACATTACGGCAAATTATTTATTTAATATTATAATTTAAACTAAAAGTATAAGAAAATTTTAATTTATAGTAAATAAATGTAACAATCCTTTTAATATATATATATATATATATATATATATATATACACAATAGATATTATATTTTCTTTCGAGTAAAATTAGAATAGCGCCACCTACGTCATTCTACAGGTAGTCAGTTTATCGAAAAACTGATTGACACTCAAGGTGGTACGTAAAATAGACGCTAGATGGTCTGAATTCATGAAATCATGAATTTTTATACACTTTAACACGAACACAGTTTATATCAATATAAACAAAGGAGTTTATACAATAATATATTTTTTCTACCAAATCCAAATAGTTTGAAACTACAGACTTTACTCTTACAGAAACACGGTACAGTGCTTCCTATCTCATTTTCTCCCACGTTAAATCTGTCTGTCTCTTTCTCTTTTTACTATCGCTTTTTCGTTTCATAGACTTTTAAATCACAACGACGCTAAAGAAGTTTTCACTTTTTGAAGTTGAAATATTAAAAATGCGTACATTAGAAACAGTAAACCTTATAATTAAATCGCAAATTTTCAATGATGACGACACTGTATGACCATCTGCATAACAAATAAGTTCACCTCGGTCTCAACTAGCGACACCTGGTGAGCGTCAGACAATTAGCCCTCGTTGTCACGAAGAAGATCTTGTACTTGTGACGACGCTTAAGTATTATTCAAAATGTTTTCACAGTAGGATTGAGAACCCAAATACCTCTGCTATTGTTAGTTCTGTTGCCGTTAATACTAGGGCCGATGCAGATGCAAAAGTAAAACCTTTTGCTAGCATCATAAAAGGACAAAGTAAAAGTCTAAAGTCATAATAACTATCTTTATTTTAACAAAAGATTCAATCAAATGGTGTGACATCGCGAAGATGTAAATCAGCGAATTGATTAGATAGTAAAAGAAAAAAAATTCAAATGTAGATTTTTATTGTTTACAAACCTTGTCTGCGTTGAGCTACAAATATTGCCAAAAAAATTTATGTAAATCGGCCTAAGGGTTACGGAGGAGATAGATTTCAAAGAATCGTTTTCTTGCGCCACGGGAGTTCCGCTCCAACAATGACTGAGAAAGATTTAAAATGTTGCATAATTAATGAAACCTGTTTTATAGGACAATCAAAATAGTGCCACGGTTCACCGAGCTTTTAGTTTTCTACGGCAGCGAATTCGCCAGTTTTCTTGACGTCGACTTGAGACTTTATAATTCACCCCCGCAAATACAAGGTAACATTTATTTTTTTTAAAGTTATTTAAGATAAGAAATATAATATGAGAGCGCTGGTTCTTATCTCGTTTAAATACTGTTGCGCGGCTAAGTTGACATCTGGCACTAGCGCCATCTAGTGTCGGGTAACAGAGCGAGGAGAGAGCTTTCCAGAAAATGACATGATTAATCTTTCAACCGACGCCATCTAGTATCGAATTGAAGAACTAAACTTTCTAGAAGCCCTACACTCGAACTTTCGGCGTCTGGTCGGTCGGCGCCCGTATCTACGGGAATATTCTGGATGTTTCGGCGTAAAAGTGTATTTAAACCCGCCGCATGCCGCGATCGGGGAAGTATTGAATTTGGCGAGACAAGCGAAGCTTCAGAGCGAAATAAAGTGAATCAGTGTGATTAATTATTGGTGTTTTAAGTTTTAATTGGTGTAAAGAAAATTAAAAAGTTAATTTTGGTAATTCTATCGGCAATTTTTATTGTCACGAACCTCAAGCTCGTAACAATACTAAGTATTCAGCAAAAACGGAAATGCAGCAAACTTTGCATGATACTGAAAGATATTATGAATAAAATTGTTTATATACAATATATGTGACGATACCACGTAGTACTATTATTTATTCTATGACGGTACCACGGAGAGTAGGGTTATTATATGATCATTAATGTTTTTAATTTTGGTTTTTTTATTATAGTTTTTCTAATATTATATATATGAAAATGTTGTACAAATAAATGATTATTTTTCTATAAATAATACCTAGTAATTCAGATCCGCAATCAAATATTATAGCAGATTATATCTACTCGTACATGCTTTGCTATATCAGTTATGTAAAGTGTCGTAAGAGACGACTATGGGAGTTTTCTGAAGAGGTAGCCTTTATGTGAGCTAAAAGCATTTTGCAGTGATAATAATATATGAAGATACGGCTCGGCTTGAACGGGGGAAGACTACGCTCTTACAATATACCAGCGAGAAATAGCAGCGTATTGATGCTGTGTTTCATGTTGTGAGTGTTGAGAACAGGAGACTATTTAGGTACTAGTACTGGAGCATTACATTTTCGCTTTCATGGGCGACATCAAATCTACATTTTGATTCTTAATGGGATGTAGATGTCTTTGTTCACAGCATCCACTTACCATCAGGTGGACTGTGTGCCCCTTTGTCATCTAAAAATGCCTTTATATATAAAAAGACAGCTTGTAATCAATAATATACTGTACATTACAGTATAACGAAATCATACGTCGAACATTAAAACAAAGCTAACCATAAACACCTACATATTTAATTTTCCACAATAGCCCACTGGTCACAACGCACTTCTTTCTTCTTTGAACTTCCGCTGCTGAACATGGAAGGATCTCCGCTGTTGTAGGGATGATCTGTCTTAATCTTCACGCTTGACATAGGACTGAGGATTGCAGAACCAGACGTTGAGCACCTCTGGCAATGTTTCCTGTCGCTGCTCTGGGCTATTTTACATCTGAAGTAAACGATGTGGATATACCGCCATCTGTCGGAAGTCACACATTTATAACAAAATTTTTAACAAAACCATAGTCGCCTATTACGACACCCTCGGGACAAAATGTGATGAGGAATTCAAACTTACACGCAACCTTCGATTATATATATTACCTACAAAAATACGGTTCAAAATGTATGTAGGTATGTATGACACTTGCTTCGTATCGGATTCAAAACAGCGATTATTAGATTAATGTAGTTATAAAATGGTCAGAAGAACCATCATTATCATATGAACTTAGTTGCTCTACCATTCTTACCTTTCAAGAATGAATATGTGAGACGTTATTCGGAGTAATTGGCTAAAATGCTTTATACTTAGCAGCATTATTTGATATAAATATGTAAAATATTATAATTTCCGTATTTTTCCTTGGTTTAACTGACAGAGAATGCCATAAGGACTAAACTCCGCCCAATATTAACCATTAATGTGTCGTCTTACAAAAAATATACTTACAATGTCTTACAATAAATAAAATGTTTAATTTGTGTGTATTTCAGAACAACACAACATACCGACAAATAATTCAGAAGCGTCTGAGAAAACTATTAAAGCAAGTTCTACTAATTGTAACATAAACGATGTTCGTAAAGAAAACCTCGATTTAGAAAGCCCTTACATTAAATCAAAGCCTAAATTGAAAACAGATGGTCAACCAGTTACTAAAAAGGGGAAGCATCCTGCAAAGATTATAAAAAAGAAAATTTTGAAACAAAAGAGTGTAAATATACTTACAAAAAAAACATCAGAGACATCAACAAAATATATTTTTGAATGTGATGGTTGTAGCAAAAAATTTTCAACAAAAGAAATTCTCGCTAAACATATTTCATACAGCCATAAGACGCAAAAGAACTCAGACACCACTGCAGTTCGGACACAAATTGAACAAACTCCAGCACCACATCTAATGGAAATATTTAATTGTGATATTTGTGAATTTAAAACATCTCATAAACGTCGCCTTTTGGCACATCTTAAAGTGCACGTTGCTAAACACGTGTACTGTTGTAAGAATTGTGATTATAAAAGTACAAAGAAAGTCTATTTGCAAATACATATGAAAATACACACCGGAGAAAAACCTTTTTCGTGTAATGTCTGTGAATATAAATGTATTACCAAAAGTCATTTACGAACACATATGAAAATACACACCGGAGAAAAACATTTTTCGTGTAATGTCTGTGGATATAAATGTATTACAAAAAGTAATTTACGAACACATATAAAAATACACACCGGAGAAAAACCTTTTTCGTGTAATGTCTGTGGATATAAATGTATTACAAAAAGTAATTTACGAACACATATAAAAATACACACCGGAGAAAAACCTTTTTCGTGTAATGTCTGTGGATATAAATGTATTACAAAAAGTCATTTACGAACACATATAAAAATACACACCGGAGAAAAACATTTTTCGTGTAATGTCTGTGGATATAAATGTATTACAAAAAGTAATTTACGAACACATATAAAAATACACACAGGAGAAAAACCTTTTTCGTGTAATGTCTGTGGATATAAATGTATTAGAAAAAGTACTTTACGAACACATATAAAAATACACACCGGAGAAAAACCTTTTTCGTGTAATGTCTGTGGATATAAATGTATTACAAAAAGTAATTTACGAACACATATAAAAATACACACCGGAGAAAAACCTTTTTCGTGTAATGTCTGTGGATATAAATGTATTAGAAAAAGTAATTTACGAACACATATAAAAATACACACCGGAGAAAAACCTTTTTCGTGTAATGTCTGTGAATATAAATGTAGTAAAACTTATTTGCAAAGACATATGAAAATACACGTTGGAGCAAACCCTGTTTCGTGAGCTATCTGGTAAAATATGTACAAATTATGTAAAGGTGTTTTATATAAATATAAAAGTATACCAGATAAAAATCCATTAGTCATAAATTTCTTATGCAATTATAGAACGAGTGGATAAATCTTTCCATGCCATATAATGCTAATTAAACCCGCATTTATTCGGACGAAGCTAATTCAAAAACTATAAAAACAACCAAGCAAAATAGAACCATGACATATGTACCAAATGATTTGTGGAATCAACAAGACCTTCATTTTTTTAATTTAAATATATAGTATGTTTTTTTTTAATTTTTTTATATTTATCCTATACTTACCTTTAAACGAGCAATTCTTGTATATATATATAATCGGAAACGGCTCCAACGATTTTCATAAAATTTTGTGTGCAGGGAGTTTCGGGGGCAATAAATCGATCTAGCTAGGACATATTTTTAGAAAATGTCTTTTTGTCCGCGTTTTTAAGCAATGAAAAACTGCTACAATATCGTTTTATAATAAGAAGGTAAATTTTGACAGTTTATTAATGATTACAAATAGCTTAATTGATATAATGGGCGGTTACAAAATCGTATTACCATGGTTCGAGCCCAGACCGACCGACCGACTTTTTTTAATTTTTTTTTTAGTTCCTTTCTTTTTTGAGAAAATCTATTATTTCGAGCCTTTTTTTAGTATTTTTTAAAAACACGAAAATTTAAATTAAACTAATTGCACTCATGACTTTTTATTCAAATAATCAGTTCAGTTTTTTCTATTATGTCGCTAAGATCAAGAAATATTATTCGTATTTCATCAGTATGTAATTTGTATCTAAATATAATTTCCAAAACACACGAATTAAAAAAACCGAGCGAAAAATACCGAGCAAAGCTCGGTCAACCGGGTACTCTATTTTATATATTTATTTCATATAATTACAATGTAAATGAAACTTAAGAAATAAACTTACAGCCAATGACGGATCTACTTTATACATTTTTAACTTATAATAATCGAACGACAATCAATAATTTTGAGCAACAAAAACATTCTATATTAGAATTAAAATATTAAAACGGTGCGTCTTTCTTTTTGACCTGTGTGTCCGTGTACGCGCGCGCGTTTATTTGTGTGTGTGTGTGTGTGTGTGTGTGTGTGTGTGTGTGTGTGTGTGTGTGTGTGTGTGTGTGTGTGTGTGTGTGTGCGTGCGCGTGTGTGTGTGTTATGCGTGGTTTCCGCGTAATTTTAAATATACGGAATATAATTCTTTCACCCCGGTGCCAGACGCGCGAACAAAGGTTGGATACACATTTTCAAAATATTTAAACACAAATCAAATTAAGTTATACTTTAACCATTTCCTTCAAGTACTTCAAGAACTTCCCTCTTAAAGCGATTCCTAATGCTATGAAAAATATCAGTAACATTAAATTGGTTATTAAAAGTTCTATGCAATCGACTGACCAATGCGTTTTGTGCGTAATTTGTTTTTGATCGGGGCGCAGAAACTCAGTAGTTTGGTTGATAGTTCAGGGCTATCTATATATCTATATATAGGCTATGCATATTCCGTGTAAAAAGGACATGTCAGCAAGCACGCCTTTTTTTGAGAGTCGTGACATAGTGATAATGGCAGGGTTTATCACAGTTTTTAAAATGGCAATGCGACCGATAATTTAAGTGTTTTATGAATTTTTCTTGCATTTTCTCTTTTCTTTTGTACGTTTACCGTTACCGTTACAGCGTGTTGTCCACAGCTGAAAATATGCTTCCCACATGGATAATGGATTGCGTGATAGGGGGAATATTAGCCATATTTGCAAAATCTGAACAGCGATTTTCAACCGCCTTCATAAAGAACGAGGTACTCCATTAGACTGTTTTTTACGTGTGTTACCTAACTTTTTAACTTTAACTGTTGGGGGTGTTGATATTTTTTTGTTTATTCCGAGCTCCCGGATTGCATTGATATTGATATGCAAATATCAACAAGAACGTTACTTGTTCCAAGACCAAAATAGCAAATCCCCAAGTTTCGAGACATTTTAGCCATTGTACATAATAAATCTTCTCGATAGGCTATCAGTGTTATATATATGATATGATATAGTTGACGACTCCGTGGCGCAGTGGCTTAAGCAATGAGTGGCTGCGCTGGGGGTCGCGGGTTCGAATCCCGCACGGAACACGTATTTGTATGGCCTACAAATAGTTGTTTCGGGTCTGGATGTTTGTTCTTGTGCAATTTATGTTTGTAAACTGCCCCCGCGATATAAGAGAAAATCTTAGTGTAGGGGAAAAAGGAAAGGAAAAAGTGATGAGAATAAAACAGCAATATCAGAATTCAAAAATCTGTCAATAAATTGATCAATAACCTCATGACAGTTGACAGCTAACGTCAAAACAACATCAATTGGCCATTAGTGTTGCAGTTTTTGGTAAAAATAAAGTATTAATAGCACCTTGCTACATATTTATTTATCTATGAATAGCACTGAAACAAAGGCAACTTCGTGGATTTGAATGACCAAAAGTGGTATAATATATTATTTTAAGTTATTTCCCTACTTGTACAAAACCAGGCCTACGCTGCATACAATATCGGACCGTCTCCTTTTACTATGTTTTTTTTTTTTAAATTTATTAATCGTAAAAACATTGTGATGTATAAATATCAATCAAGTCAAAGATTTAAGTTGTACAATTTTTTACCTGTGTAGTGGCGGTGTGAAAATATCCAATATACTATAGCATCCCATAAAACCAAACAAACGAGAAGATGGGCAGAAGCGTCTTTCTAATAACGACTAAAATTAAAAATTAGGGATGGGCCGAACATGGATTTGACCGAATAAGAATATTGGGCCGAAAGTTTGGTAAAATTTCACCGAACCGAATATTCGGCCGAACTTTATTCGGCAGGATCACCTCGATACCTAACCAATTTCTGTGGAGACTTGTTACCGTAAAACGCGTGGAATTAGCGCGGACCCTGCCACTCACTCCCCCGCCACACCTGACATGCCTTTGTATCATCATCTTGTACTGAGCAAATTGCCAGCGCACACACTTATGCTTAGACTATTTTTGTCCCAAAAAAAATTTCGTGGTTTTATTCTAAGTGAAAATTAATAAAAATGAGTGGCAGGAGATCTACTATTTGGATTTAGGTATTTTAAAGAAACTGACAACCAAAATAAATTGAAATATACTAATGTAATGTAAAGTTTCTTTGTTTGATTCCAAAAACATTTCATCAAGCTTTCTATTTGCTATAAATGGAAATAAACCTACAGTGCCTCAAAAACATAACGCTATACAACGCTAGATTTAAACCATAAATAAAATATACTTTCAACAATAAAATTATGAAAGACATGGCATTACTCAATTCGTACATTTCAATACAGTGGACACTGAGTATACTACTTTACCGAATGTTCGGTGATTTAGCCGAATATTCGGCCGAATACGAATATTCGGTAAAGCTGCCGAATACCGAATATGAAACGAATATTTGGCCCATCTCTATTAAAAACTGCGGCTGCGAACTCGCTTGCCAAGCGTGGCAACAATGGCAAATATGATTGTTGCCCCCTATGATGCTGTCTATAGGAGAGACTTATGTTCATCTTCACATTTCTGAGAGAGTTTGCTTTTTAGAATGGGCAGAATTTATCGTGTTACTAATAATCAATTTTTCACTACGGTTGCAGAATTTTTTTATAAATCGTCCAGCTCATATTTTAGAAACTTCTCGCTATGAGGACATATATGCAGGAGGCCTATGTCTAGCAGTAGACTTTTATGGGCTGTAATGGAAATTTAGTTTATTTCGCTGCTTCTTCGCTTGGCTCCAAATATTTACAATGATAAACTGCTCAAATTAGTTTTTCCTTAAAAGAATGCGCTAGACACAGATATTAACATCGGTTATGATGTAGATGAGGAAGTGTTTTATCCCGCGAATTAGCTTAAACCGTAACACCCAGAACTTTGCAATGAAAATTAATAAAGCGACTTGCAATAGTGAATCCGAAGTGTGGAATGTGTCAGAGCCGGTCGCATTACTCTAAAGTTTGGAGGGGCTTTGAGTTTTATTGCATTACTTTATGACGCAAAAATTATCAATTCTTCTTCTATCCTTAATCATTAGCGCGTAAAAGTCTACTGCAAGACAATGGGTGCGTTTGGCAGAAAAAAGCGCTAGCAAGCGCTTATAAGCGCTAAAATAGTTTTCGGCCAGGACACGATTGCTACTTCAGTAGCGCTGACACAATCCGCCATTTTGCTTATTTAATTTGTTTGTTTTGAAGTAGAGTTTATAAGTTGTTTTGTGCAATATTAGTTTTAAGTAATATAATGACATGAATAAACATATACATGCTATTAAAAACTCATGATTGGTAAGTTTTTAATATGAATACTTTACAAACATATATTTAAATTAGGTTAGATTCCCCGGTTAAAACTAACATCATGTCCTGGAGGAAAATAGCTACTTACGATTTGACAGCGCTTACCGCTTACGATCGCCATTTTGCTTACAAGCGCTTGCTAGCGCTTTTTTCTGCCGAACGCACCCATTTATTATACGATTTATTATAATTTTCACGGTTTGCAAACAAATTGATGATAGCAATACAATAGATCTTGCATCTTTGACGTTGCTGGCCAGTGTTGGTACAACTAGCCAGTTTGGGTACGAATAACCAGTCTGGGTATTTTATGTCTGGCTCTGACGTAACTGATTTGTCTATACCGCCATATATCAAAAGCCGTTATATTTTTCTGGCGTTTCCCATAGTACGCCTCTTACTGTGTACCTCTAGGAGGTGTGATGGTGCACGTAGAAGAGTAATGGGTTTATTTACGCCGCTACTATACAGCAAACGAACTTTCGTTCCCTTCTCATTTTTTTATAAATTAGAGTAATTTTAAGCCATTTTTAGTTTCTTTTTTATATTATGTTAGTGCATATCTACGTTGCTTAGTTTCATTTAAATATAATATTGAACGGACACGACATTCTCCATGTTGAAATCTTCTATGCACTTAATCGGTTTAATAATGAGTTTAATCCGTATACTAAAATTATCATTACTATTATTGTTTGAGTTGAAACAGTGATATAGTTTATAAAATATAATCAACCGCCCCAAGAAATAAAACTATTACAAACCAATTGTAGGGGATGAGAGCTTAAGTGGACTGTATTTAATTGGTTTTTCTCTATATGTATATATATATATATATATGTATACGCTAACGCTAGGGATTATTATATCTAACTATTAACTGAGCCTAATTCTGTGACATCTGTCTGGCTAAAGGGTTGAATTGAAATTAAAATAGTTAAAAATGAATTCACTATATTTACACAATTATCCTGCAGTGAACACTAAACTATTTAGGGATTTTGAGGGCTTCTTGTGTGCTTGTTCTTCTGATTGGGCCGCTTGCTTGCCGCTCAAATCGCCGATCGAATGACGAAGCCGCGCCAGAAGCGCTTCTTATATTCTGTAGGTCGGTGCGCCGTAGGCACCGAGTTGGTGAGAGTGTCGTCCGCTCGGGGTCCTTGTTCCGATGCGGGGACGTGTCGACGTGGGTGCGGTGCGGAGCGATGGACGAATCTATTCGCCGTCCGCAACACTAATATATAAACAAAAAGAAAATAGAAATTCTATGCGAACGAAGTCGCGTCATGTAGTTAGTTTTTATTAAGTTGATTTTCGAAGTGTTCCTAATTATTTCCAAAGCTTATTTGCTACTTTTGTATTAATATATTAGTTATAGTATACGACTTTGTGTTTTTGTACCTATCCTTAACCCAGTTTTGGTTTTATAGGGCGGCAAAGCTTATGGTGACCATATTCCCATATACCTTATATATTGCTTTGGCTCAATCTTTTTTTTTTATTCCTGTATGAGGTGGAGATACAAAAACCAAAATTATAGAAGTTGAAATAGCACAGAAAAATTTACAAAAAATTATCCTATACCTTTAAACGAGCAATTCTTGTATATATATATATATATATTATCGGAATCTCGGAAACGGCTCCAAGTGTCCAGGGAGTTTCGGGGGCAATAAATCGATCTAGCTAAGATTTATTTTTAGAAAATGTCATTTTGTCCGTGTTTTAGGCAATGAAAAACTGCTACAATATCGTTAGAATAAGAAGGTAAATTTTGACAATTTATTAATGATTATAATTAGCTTAATTGGTATTATGGGCGGTCACAAAATCGTAATAACCTGATTCGCGTCCAGACCGACCGACCGACTTTTTTTAATTTTTTTTTCAAGATCCTTTCTTTTATGAGAAAATCTATTATTTCGAGCCTTTTTTAGTATTTTTTAAAAGAAAAAACGAAAATTTAAATTAAATTAATTGCACTCATGATTTTTTATTCAAATAATCAGTTCAGTTTTTTCTATTATGTCGCTAAGATCAAAAATATTATTCGTATTTCATCAGTATGTAATGTGTATCTAAATATAATTTCCAAAACACACGAATTAAAAAAACCGAGCGAAAAATACCGAGCAAAGCTCGGTCAACCAGGTGCTGCATTTTATACCAAAAAGATTCCTTACAGAAGATTTTTATGGCATAATTAATGTACTTACTGTTAGGAAACCGTACATCTTATATTCAGTCCTAAGACTGCATAAA